CTGGCGGCCGCCGACATCTTGGTGGCCACCCTCATCATCCCCTTCTCCTTGGCCAACGAGCTCTTGGGCTACTGGTACTTCGAGAGGACGTGGTGCGAGATCTACCTGGCTCTGGACGTGCTCTTCTGCACCTCGTCCATCGTGCACCTCTGCGCCATCAGCCTGGACCGCTACTGGGCCGTGAGCCGCGCCATCGAGTACAACGCCAAGCGCACGCCGCGGCGCATCAAGTGCGGCATCCTCATCGTGTGGACCATCGCCGCCGCCATCTCCCTCCCGCCGCTCGTCTACAAGGGCGAGAAGAAGGCGGCGGCGGGCGAGCGGCCGCAGTGCAAGCTCAACGAGGAGGCCTGGTACATCCTCTCCTCCAGCGTCGGCTCCTTCTTCGCCCCGTGCCTCATCATGATCCTCGTCTACCTGCGCATCTACCTGATCGCCAGGCGCCGCCACCGCGCCCGCTCCGGCGCCACCAAACCCCCGCCGGTGCCACCGAGCATCCCCGCACCGGCCTCCGGGGCCCCTCCACCGGTGGACAGGACCTCGCTGCTGAGCCCCGAGGAACCCCCAGCGTCCCCCAGCGCCGGGGCAGAGACGTCCCCACCGCCCGCGGGACCCCGCAGGGACACGGTGGCCACCGGGACGGGGCGTGTGGTGCTGGCGCGGCGCTCGCCAGCCCTGACCCCCTGGAGGAGGAAGGCTCAGGTGAACCGGGAGAAGCGTTTCACCTTCGTCCTGGCCGTGGTCATCGGCGTCTTCGTGCTCTGCTGGTTCCCCTTCTTCTTCCTCTACAGCCTGGGCGCGCTCTGCCCCCGGCGCTGCAAGGTCCCCGACGGCGTCTTCCAGTTCTTCTTCTGGATCGGGTACTGCAACAGCTCCCTCAACCCCGTCATCTACACCGTGTTCAACCAGGACTTCCGCAAGGCTTTCCGGCGGCTCCTGTGCCGCTGCCGGGCCCCGACGCCCTGGTGAGGGGCTCCCACACCCCCTCCTCCTCCTCCTGCCTGCGCTCACTGTTGGGTTGAGCTTTGAAGCCCCCCAAAGTGATGATGGGTGCCCCCCCCTCTCCCATGGCTGCTTGTTGCCAGGTTTCCATGGGGACCCAGCACATGGAATGGGGGGATCCATCCCAAGAGACACCCCCACCCCCCCCAAGGCCTTTTAACAATAAAAACTATTTTGGAATAAGAAAACCATTCCCTTGTTTTCAAGGGGGGGGCTGGGGGTGTGATTGTGTCGTGTGTGTCGTCGTCCCCCCCCCCATCCCTTGGGGACACTTGGGGACAGCAGCAGGAACATGATGTTGGGGGGGGGGGGGTGTTATTTATGGCAGCACCATAAATTATAGAAGGAATAAATAATAATGATAATAATTAATTAATTAAACACAAGTGATGAACCAGCTGCTGGCCCTGAGGGCGTTCAACCCCCCCTCGGGGGCCCGGTGGGGATTCGTGGGAGGCTCATATAGGGGTTTTGCTGCCCGCCTTGGTGCTGCATTTCAAGAGGGTTCATGGGTTGTGACCCACAATTGGGTTGGGGTAACCCACAGCAGTGTGGTGACCACCACCATATCGTGACCCACACCACCATATCGCGACCCACACCACCGTATCGCAACCCACACTGGTGTATTGTGATGCATGACAGTGACCGACACCACTGTATCATGACCCACATCACCATATCGTGACCCACATCACTGTATTGTGATCCACATCTCCGTATCGTGACCCACATCTCTGTATCGTGACCCACACCACTGTATCGTGACCCACACCACCGTATCGTGACCCACACCACCACATCATGACCCACATCACCACATCGTGACCCACACCACCACATCGTGACCCACACCACCGTATCGTGACCCACACCACCACATCGTGACCCACATCACCATATCGTGACCCACATCACTGTATCGTGACCCACACCACTGTATCGTGACCCACATCACCGTATCGTGACCCACACCACCGTATCGTGACCCACACCACCGTATCGTGACCCATACCACATTGTGACCCACACCACCATATCGTGACCCACACCACCATATCGTGACCCACATCACCACATTGTGACCCACACGACAACATCGTGACCCACACCACCGTATCGTGACCCACACCACCGTATCGTGACCCACACCACATTGTGACCCACACCACCGTATCGTGACCCACACCACATCATGACCCACATCACCACATCGTGACCCACACCACATCATGACCCACATCACCACATCGTGACCCACACCACAACATCGTGACCCATACCACTGTATCGTGACCCACACTACCGTATCGTGACCCACACCACCGTATCGTGACCCACGCCACCGTATCATGACCCACACCACCACATCGTGACCCACACCACCATAACGTGACCCACACCACCGTATCGTGACCCACACCACCGTATCGTGACCCACACCACATTGTGACCCACACCACCACATTGTGACCCACACCACCGTATTGTGACCCACAGCAGGGAATGGCAACCCACGCTTGCAGTGGCATTGTCGTGACCCGCAGCAGAAGATTGCGACCCCCACGGCTGTGTCGTGACTCGTGTTGGCGCATCCCCACTCACACGGAATGGATGCGCCGTGACTCACCCTGGCACGCGCTGACCCCATTGAGGTACCACCACCCCAGCGCCCCCTTCCCAGGGGACGCGGCCCCATCTCCCCGCCTCCATCCCGCCCGGCTCCGCCGGAGCTTTGGGAAGCCCATTCCCAGCCTGGCTGCTCTCCCGTCCCGGCGCGCTGGGACGATGCTCGGGGTGGGAGAGGTCGTGTGAACGGGGCCGGAGCCGTGGGGCCGCGCACGCCGCCAGCACCGCGTCCTCTGCCCCACGGCTGCGCCCCACAGCGTGCGGGGTGGGGTCCATAGGGTGGCCCCATAGAGGGGTTGGGGCACAGGCACCCCCAGAACCCCCCAAACCATCCCAGGGGTTGCCATGGTGATGCCTTCATTCCCAACCTCCCCCGGCTCGTAGCAACAGAACCGGGTTTGCAGCAGAAAAAAAAGCCTTGGAAATTCCAGGGGTTTGGCTTCAAAATCACTTAAAGTGGGTTAAATTGGGTTAAAATGGGGTGAAATGAGGGTTTCTGCCCCTTGGCTGCCAGGGGAGGAGGGATGAGCCCTGGCCAGGCCTCAGCCTGCTGCTGCCAGGGCTTTGCGTTCCCAACTGCCAATGAATGCCCGGCAATAAGGGGCTTTCTCCCTCTGCTTTCCCTGTTCTCTGGGATTTTCTCTTTTTTCCCCATTTTTCCCTTGTCTTTTCCCTTTTTTTCCTCTTTTTAATTGAAGTTTTCATTTTTTCTTGCTTTTTTCCCCTCTTTTACTTTTGTATTTTCTTTTCCCTCCCTTTTAATCGTATTTTCTTTTTTCCCTCATTATTTCTCTTTTCCTGTATTTTTTCCTTATATTTTCTTTTTTTTTCTCTTTTTTAATGTCTTTTCACCCCCATTTTATTCTATTCCTCCCTTTTGTCTTTTTTTTCCCTTTTCCTTGCCTGTTCCCTCCCCCCCCCTCCATTTTTATATTTTCTTTTCTTTTTTGCTCACTTTTTTCTCCTTTTTATTGTATTTTGCCTTTTTTTCTCCTTTTTTCTATATTTTCCCTCTTTTTTTCATATACTGTTTCCCTTTCTTATCGTCTTTCTCCATTTTTATTGTGATACTTTTCCTTATTTTTCCTTTTTTCCTCCCCCCTTTTTATTGTATTTACCCTCCATATTTTCATCTTATTTTCCCTTTTTTCCTTGTTTTTCCTTTTTTCCCTTTTTTCTCCTTTTCCGTCTTATTTTTCCTTTTTTCCTCCCCCTTTTTATTGTATTCCCCACATATCTTCATCTTATTTCCCTTTTTTCCATTTTTTTCTCCTTTTCCGTCTTATTTTTCCTTTTTTTCTTGCGTTATTTTTTTCTTTTTTCTCTCCTTATTTTTCTTTTTCCCCTATTTGTCGTTTTTTCTTATTTTCCCCTTTTTCGCCTTTTTTTTTCCTTTTTAATCTTTTTTTCCCCGTTTTTCTTCCCTTTCCCTATTTTCCCGTTTCTCTTCTCCCATCCCTTCCCCTTCTCCGTTGTTTTCCCCCCGTTCTCGCCCCCTCTTTCCCCAGGGACCCTCCGGGCCCGCACGCTCCGAGCCGCGCCTCAGCCCCCGCGCTCGTTCCGCTCCTCCCGCACAGGGACGGGGCTGGGAGCGGGGCCCGGGGTAACCCCAGCGGCGGCGCCGAGCCCGAGCCCCCCCCTCCAAAGGCCGCGGGCGGGGCCGGGGTCGCGGCCCGGGGGGTTCCGGCCGGGCCGGTGCCGCCCTCCGCGGGGGCGGAGCGGGAGCAGCGGCCGGGCCTGCGGCGGTGAGCGCGGGAGAGCGGGCCCGGGGTGGGCGCGGAGCCCCGCGGGCCTCGAGTGGGGCTTGGGGGGGGGATGTGGGGCTCGTGTGGGGCCACAACCCCCCCCAAGGCCCTGCAGGGGCTGTGGGATGCGTTCGCTCCCAACCACAGCCCCTATGGGGTGCGCAGGGCCCGTGTGGGGCTGTGTAACCCCGCTCCTATGGGATATGTGGGGCCCATAACCCCCCCAAGGCCCTATGGGGAACGTGTGGTGTGCTGCACCCCCCCATCCACATCCTCCATAACCCCCTCTAAGGCCCTATAGGGGCTGTGGCGGGTGTTACCCTATAGGGTGTGTGGGGCCTGTGTGGGGTGTGTTACCCCCCCCCAAGGCTCTGTAAGGGGTGTTGGGGGTTGCGGTTCCCCCCCCCCCCGCCCCCCAACACCCTATAGGGAACATTGGGTCCCCCATGGACTCCCCTCCAGTCCCTATGGGGTGTTGGGGCCCCTATGGGGTGTGTTACCCACCCCACAAGTGCCTGTAGGACACGGGTCTAAACCTTCCCAACGGACCCCTTCTGCCCATTCCCACCTCCTGTTTTCCAGGATCCTGGAGCATCCCAGCCCCTCTGCTGCCCCCCACCCCAGCCCCACACCCAGGGCTGTGTCTCCACCAGGACAGCCCCATCCCGAGGTACCGGACCCCCTGGGGACAAGGGTGGGCACGGAGGGGACCCCCAGCAAGGGGGTGACCCCGCTCCCCTCACGCCACCAGCACCCCACAGGTCACATCCTGCCTCACGCCATTGCCCCACGGCTCTGGTCCTGGGCTGGTGGGATGAGGGCCCCCCCCCCCTACCCCTCACTGAGCCCCCCTGCTCTGTGCCCCACAGCTTTGCTGTGCTCCAAGGGCTCCTCCCTGCACGGAACCTGCTGCTGGAGCCTTCCCGAGTGCTGATCCCAGCGGATCCGGCTCTGAGTGAGAAACGTGGGTGACCCCCCCTTGATCTCCCCTTAGCGGCATCTCCGTGTCCTGTCCCCCCCCCCCGATGCAGTGAGTTCTGCTCAGTGTTTTGGGGGGGGGGGGGAATTCCCCCCCTTCGGCATTCCCGGAGCTTCCCGGTCTCTGCCATTGCCGCAGATGAGAACGTGGCTCTGTGTTGGGGGGCAGAGGGTGGAGGTCGTGCTGCCCTTCCTGGGCAGGTGCCACCCGGACTCGGGGCGCTGCTGCCAGACCTGCACCCCCATGAGCTGGGTAAGAGCCTCGTGGAGCTATCCCGGGCATCTTGGGATGCTGGTGGCGAGGATGAGCCCCATCTCGGTGCGTGTGGGGAGCACCGGAGATGTGGGGCTGAACCCCCATAATGCCCCTTCCCTCCTTGCTTCCAGGACGGCTTCTACTCCGAGCGCTTCCCTTCCCTCGGCTTCCGCGACATCAGCCGGGTGACGGAGAAGGACACGCGGTGAGGCCGGGGCATAAACGGTGCTTTATCCCCCAGGGAATTCCCAATCCCCATGGAAACCCCTTCCCCTTGGGGACGCCTCTCCATCAGCCTTGCTCCGTCGTGCCTCCAAGGAGGGGCTGTTTGGGGGGCTGGAAGCCGTCCCAGGGACAAGCTCACGCGGGCTCCCAGCCTCTTCCCAATGCTCCATCCTCTCCCTCCTGTCCCAGCTCCGGGGCTGCGCCCATCCCAAGCCTTTTCCTTTGGCCCCAGGAGCTGTAAGGTGGGGAGGGAGGGAGAGCTCCGGCCCTGGAGCAGCCTCTGCCACGGCTCCCTGTGCCCGTGCGCAGGTTCCGGGGCTGGCTGGCGCGCAGGGTCTGCGGGCTCCTGGCTGTCTGCTCCTGGCGGATTCCTGCTGACACCCCTGGGGACCTCCCGGCACGGCTCTGCCACAGCAGGAGGTGGGAGCGGGCTCTGGGGGATCCCATCGGGTGGCTGGAGCAAGGGGGCCGGGATGCTTCCACCTCCTCCATCCCTCCGCAGGGTGCAGGATGCTGCTGCCGCCCGTGGCCCGGCACTGGGGGGTGGATGGAAGGAGAAGATCCTGGAGCTCCTGGGTGACATCCAGGCCCCGCTCTCCCTGCTCATGCTGAGGTCTGGGCTCCCTCCCTGGCTGGGATCCCCTTTCCCTGCCACTTCCCACCTCATCCTGGAGGGAGCCCAGCTCCTGGCTCGGGCGTTCCCAGTCCCTCCCCTCCTCTCCAGGGCTCTCGTGCTCTTTATCAAGCCCCTTTTGGATGGGCTTTGAGTGGGGGCTTCGTGCTTGGTGCCGTCTCCTTGGGAATGCTGTGGGGAACACCAGGGGGCTTGGAGGGGTGCAGGAGGACCCTTTGGGTCCCTCACAGCTCCCTGGGGATATTTCCCCCCCCAGATTCCTTGCAGGGGATGTGACACCGGGGCAGAGAAGGCAGGGATTAAACCAACCCCCAACCGGGAGGGTGGAAATCAAAGCCAAGCCAAAGGGAGCAGTTCCTTCCCTCCGGGATGGGGCTGAGCCGGGTCCTGCTGCTCCATGGGGACACCGAGGCAGGGAACGGGGGGTGGCCGTGGCCCGGTGGGGGGGGGGGGTTCTTCCCTCCCTGCTTTTCCTGCAGGATCTGCCACTGGGCGCTGCTGAAGCTCCTGAGCCGCCTGTTCCTCAGCGTGCAGCTGCACCGGGGGCAGCTGGAGACGGTGCTGAGGGCAGCCAGCACGGTGGGCACCCGCTGAAGCCGCCCTCGGCCCCACGCCGCCGGCCCCCCCGGGCGCTCAGCCCCCCACGCCTCCCTTGCAGCCCCGAGTGCCCCTGGTTTTCCTCTCCGCACACAAATCCCAGCTGGATGGGCCGCTCCTCTCCTTCGTCCTCTTCTCCCAGGGGTTAGGGGTGCCCCGGGTGACGGTGGGCGCCCAGGGCTGCAGCCCTCGCCTCCGGTAAGGCCGGGCACGCACCGGTGTGGGGCAGTCCTTTGGGGGGGGGGGCACCCAGCGGGACACAGCCCAGTGCCGGCTGTCCCCTGTCCCCCCCCCCGGCAGATCCCTGCTCCGGCGCCTCGGAGGGGTTTTCCTGCCTGCAGGAATGGAGCAGACACAGAGCGAGCCGGAGGATGCGCTCCCAGGGGCCGTGCTGGCTGCGGTGGGTGCTGAGCTCCGGGTGCTGGGGGTGTTCGGGGGGTGCCTCAAAGCAGGGGCTGCCCAAGCCGTGGCTGCCCCCCAGCCTCACCCCGCTCCCCCTGCAGTACGTGGAGGAGGTGCTGAGGAGCCGGCAGCCTCTCCTCATCTTCCTGGAGGAGCCCGCGGTGCCGCTGCACCTCTCGGCCTCGGCCCGGCGCTGGCTGGCTCCGGTGCAGGGCGCCGTGCGCGCCGGTGCTGTGCCCGACGTCCTCCTCGTCCCGGTGGGCATAGGCTACGACGTGGTCCCCGGTGGATCCCAGCCGGAGGCAGCGGTGAGGGGCTCTTTGCCAGGGGGGGTGCAGCCCCCACGTCACCCCCGTGCACCCCAATAACGCCTCGGTGTTGTCCCCCCTGTCCCAGCGCGGCGCTCAGCCCCTCAGCATCGGCGCTTGCCTCTGGGCAGCGTTACGGGCCCTGCGCCGGAACCTCGGCTGTGTCCGGGTGGATTTTGCCCAGCCCTTCTCCTTACAGGTACGGCAGTGGGGCAGGAGCCTCGGGATGGGGGGGGTGTTGGGGTGTCAGGGATCTGCTGAGCCCGTCTCTATGGGAAGCTCCAGCGGATCCGGTCAGCTCGGTGATGCTCCGGTGCGCACCGACAACTCCTTCATCCCCGTTCCCAGGAGTTCCTGGCCAAAAGCCCTGGCAGGTGCGCAGGGAAGCCGGAGGAGCTGCTGCTGCTGCCCAGCATCCTCGGCACGTGGTGAGCAGGACCCAGCCTCAGGCAGCACGGAGCCTTCGGGGGCTCCCGGCCGCACTTCCTCACCCCTCTCACCCCGTTTTCCATAGGCCCGGCCACCTGGATGCCGGCAATACCGGGCTCGGGGCTCCTGGCTCCACCAAGGCCACCAGCTTGGAGGCACCAGAGGAAGAGTTGGTGACCAACCTGGGCCTGCACTCACTGAGCGGTGAGGGGTGGCAGGGTCCGTCCTCAGCTGGTCCGTGCAGGGTCACCCCTTGGCTCTGCTGTTCACTCCCAAGCATCCCTCTCCCTCCTCCCTCCTTCCCAGACAGCGTGTCCTGCTCCGCCGTCATGTCCGTGGGGATCACGTCCGCGCTGCTGCTGCACAAGTACCGGGAGGTGAGGAGGAGAGCTTCGCTTCCAGGCTTCTCTTCCTGGTGGAGCCTCCTGCTCATCCTCCTCTTCCTCCAGGGCGTCTTCCTCTCCCGGCTCATGCAGGACTTTGCCTGGCTGCTGGAGGAGATCCTGCTGCGCCAGCGGGACGTGGGCTTCTCGGGGCAGCTCCGTGCCCTGGTGCAGCACAGCCTCATCCTGCTCAGGGCCCGGCTCCACCTCTACCACCTCTCCCCCCTCGGTGACGTCCTGGTGGTCCCCGAGGCCTCGGCACGGACCTGGATGGAGCTGGGCCACCACAGCGCTGCCATCCTGCCTGTCTTCGCCAGCGAGGCGGTGGGAGGTGAGGAGCGAGGCGTGGAGTGGGACCGGTGACACTGGGACAACCGGTGACACTGGGAAAATGGGTGACACCAGGACAACCAGTGACACTGGGAAAATGGGTGACACTGGAACAACCGGTGACACTGGGACAACCGGTGACACTGGAACAACCAGTAACACTGGAACAACCGGTAACACTGGAACAACCAGTAACACTGGAACAACCAGTAACACTGGGACAACCGGTGACACTGGGACAACGGGTGACACTGGAACAACCAGTAACACTGGAACAACCGGTAACACTGGAACAACCAGTAACACTGGAACAACCAGTAACACTGGGACAACCGGTGACACTGGGACAACTGGTGACACTGGGACAACCAGTAACACTGGGACAACTGGTGACACTGGGACAATGGGTGACACTGGAACAACCGGTGACACTGGGACAACTGGTGACACTGGGACAACCAGTAACACTGGAACAACCGGTGACACTGGGACAATGGGTGACCCTGGGACAACCGGTGACACTGGGACAATGGGTGACACTGGGACAACTGGTGACAACGGGACAACTGGTGACACCAGGACAATGGGTGACACTGGGACAATGGGTGACACCGGAACAACCGGTAACACCATTATCCCTGCAGCCTGTGCCATCCGAGCCTTGCTGGCGGAGGTGATGCCCTTCCTGGAGCCCACCACCCAAGCCTCCAGCATCATCTTCAGCCAGGACGAGCTGCACTGCAAGACCCTGGAGCTGCTGCAGCTGCTGCCCCCAAACGTGCTGGGGCTCCGGGTAGGGGCCGGTGGCACAGGGTGGCATCGCCATCGCACCACGGTGGCCTCTGCGTGGCTTGGAGGGGGAGGACCGGGCACCAGCCAGCCCCGCTCTTCCTCCTCCTCCTCCTCCTCCTCCTCCTCCCGTCCCAGCCCTGCCAGCCCCTGGGCTGCTGGAGCGAGGACATCGTGGACAAGCTCGTCCTGTGCGGGTTGCTGGAGCCAGAGGAGGTGGGTGCCCCCCCCCCGCAGCCCCCCATGCAGGGGACACGGCGCTGCTGTAGGGTGGCTCCGGAGGGCCCGGCTTGTCCCCACAGCCGGAGGGCGAGCACTGGGTCTGCGACACGGCCCCGCGGGCCTTCAGCCGGCGCCAGGCACAGCCCACGATGGACTTCAGTGACAGCGACAGCGAGGACGAGGGGCCCCTGCGCCGCTGCTTCAAGGTCCCTGGGGGGGGGGGGTGTCCCCTTGTCACCCCCACGGGGTGAGGGTGCTCGCACTCAGCTCTGCTTCCCCCCGTCCAGCTCGGGGAGCCCCAGGGCTCTCCCCGCCTCCTCCTCTTCCTCTGCCGGCTCCTCAGCCCCGTGCTGGGCACCTACGCTGGAGCCGTGGCTTTCCTGGGGCAAACCCGCTGGCCCCAGCCCGGTGAGAGCCCCCCCCCGGGGGGGAAAACTGCTCCTCCGGGCCCCCCAAACCCCGCTGGGCTCTGGGGCAACCGAGGCAGAGCCGCAGCTCCCTTTGCAGCCCCGGCCTTGGGGGTGCTGGGCTTTGACCCCCATCTCCCCACACAGAGGCAGCCTACGTGGAGGAGCTGCTCCAGTTCCTGGCCAAGGAGGGCTCTGGTGAGCTGGGGGGTGCCCGGGGCCTCCCTCCCGCTTTGGGGCCACCCCCCCCATCCCAAACCAAGCTGTGGGATTTGGGGGGGGGGGTCCCTCAAGGCTTTCTCTGCCTCCAGAGCTCCCCAACAGAAGCCTGGCCCTGAGCTCTCTGCAGACCTTCAAGGAGATGGGGGTAAGCACCAATGGCTCCACCAGCCCCCCCTGCACCTCCTGCTGCCCCACACTGACACCCCATCTGCTCCCCATAGGTGCTGGAGGAGGTGGGGGCCCCCCCCGGCCCCCTGCTCCACCTCGCCCAGCCCTTCCACTCCAGCGCCAACCGGGAGAGGCTGGAAGCCTTCATCCAGCAGTTCATCCAGCCCTAGAGCATCCTGCCCCGGCTCCTGCTTTATTGAGCCCCACAAGGGTGCTGTGGGGTGGGCAGGAGGGGGGGAAGCAGCCGGACCGGGGCACGAGGTCCCGTCTCCATCTTCACACCACCTTGTTGCAGATGACCCCCAGCTCCTCGATCTCGCACCGCACCTCATCTCCTCTCTGCGAGGGGCAGGGAGACACTGGCACCCCCCGGCCCATCCAGGGGGGCCTTTACACCCCGTTCTGGCCCCCCCTCTCCCCTCACCTTCAGAAACACGGGGGGCTTCCGAAAGACGCCCACCCCCGGGGGGGTTCCCGTGAGCAGGATGTCCCCAGGGACCAGCGTGACGAACCTGGGTGGGGGACGGGGGACAGGAGGTGTCACAATGGCCCCTGAGGGCGGTACCGGTGCCGCCGGCCCCCCCTTACCGGGACACCCATGCGATGAGCTTGGGCAGGCGGAAGATGAGCTGCTTGGTGCTGCTGTCCTGCATCACCCGCCCGTTCACGCTGCAGCTGATGCGCAGGTTGTGGACGTCTGTGGGGAGCGAGGGGAGGTGTCACCGCAGGGAGGGGCATGGGGGGAGCTGAGGAGCCACCACCACCAACAACCCCCCCATGTGGGGAAAACATGGAGCTTTTGGGGCAAATCAGTGCCTGTTGCCTCTTGTGTCTGTCAGGAAAGAGCCTGTGCCCCATCCCCATCCCATCACCGTGCCCTGTCCCCATCCCATCGCTGTCCCCATCCCCATCCCATCCCTGTTCCCATCTCCATCCCATCCCCATCCCATCCCTGTCACCATCCCCACCCCATCACTGTACCTCGTCCCATCCCCATCCCATCCCTGTCGCCATCCCATCACTCTCCCATCCCCATCCCATCGCTGTCCCCATCCCCATCCCAACCCTGTCACCATCCCCACCCCATCACTGTACCTCGTCCCATCCCCATCCCATTGTTGTCTCCATCACCATCCCATCCCTGTCACCATCCCATCGTTGTCCCATCCCCATCCCATTATTGTGCCCTGTCCCCATCCCATCGCTGTCCCCATCCCCATCCCATCCCTGTACCTCATCCCATCCCTGTACCCCATCCTCATCCCATCCCATCCCTGTCCCCATCCCATCACTGTCCGATCCCCATCCCATCCCTGTCCCCATCCCCATCCCATCACTGTCCCATCCCCATCCCATCCCTGTCCCCATCCCCATCCCATCACTGTCCTGTCCCCATCCCATCACTGTACCTCATCCCATCCCTGTACCCCATCCTCATCCCATCCCATCCCATCCCTGTCCCCATCCCATCCCTGTCCCCATCCCATCACTGTCCCATCCCCATCCCATCCCTGTCCCCATCCCCATTCTTGATCCCATCCCTGTCCCCATCCCCATCCCCCATCCCATCCCTGTCCCCATCCCCATCCCATCCCTGTCACCATCCCATCATTGTCCCATCCCATCACTGTACCTCATCCCATCCCATCCCTGTCCCATCCCATCCCTGCCCATCCTTACCCTTCACGGCCTCCTTGGTGACAAGGGCTGGCCCCAGGGGACAGAAGGTGTCGAAGGTTTTCCCCAGCAGCCACTGCCGCCCGTTCCTCTTCATCTGCCAGTCCCGGGCACTGACATCGTTGGCCACCGTGAAGCCCACGACGTGCTCCATCGCTGACGCCTCCTGGGGGGGCACAACGGGGACCCGCTGTATGTGGGGCCACAACCCGAGACCCACGGGAAGGAGGAGGAGGGCGCCGGGGCTCACCTGGATGTGCCGCCCCTTCTTCCCCATGACAGCGGCCAGCTCCACCTCCCAGTCCACCTCCTGTGGGGAGAACGGGGGGGTGGGGGGTGAGCACCCACCGCATGGCGGGGGCCGCGCTGGGGGCCCGGGGGTGCTCACGGTGCTGTCCTCGGGGTGCACGATGTCATCGAAGGGCCCGATGATGGCGCTGGGGAACTTGCTGAAGATGATGGGCTCCTTGGGGACCTTCACGTCCTGCTCCAGGCAGTGGTCGCGGTAGTTGAGCCCCACGCAGATCACCTTCTCGGGGTCACCCACGGGTGCCAGGAGCTGGACAGCGCTGCGCGGCACCCGGTGACCCCCCGACTCCAGCGCCCTGCGGGGCACCCACCTCTGTATGGGGGCACCCACATTTGTATGGGGGTACTCACCCCTGTATGGGGCAGCCACTCTGTACTGGGGCACCCACCTCTGTACTGGGGCACCCACCTTTGTACTGGGGCAGCCACCTTCGTACTGGGGCACCCACATTTGTATGGGGGTACTCACCCCTGTATGGGGCACCTACCTCTGTACGCGGTCACCCACCTTTGTACTAGAGCACCCACCTCTGTAGGGGGGCACCCATCCCTATATGGGGGCACCCATCTCTGTACAGGGGCATCCACTCCTATACAGGGGCACCCACCTCTGTACAGGGGTGCCCTCCTCTATATGGGGGCACCCACCTCTATACTGGGGCACACACATTTGCATGGGGGGTGCTCATCCCTGTATGGGGCACCCACTTCTGTACCAGGGTGCCCACCCCTATACAGGGGCACCCACCCCTGTACGGGGGCACCCAAATTTGTACAGGGGCACCCACATCTATATGGGGGGCAGCCACCTTTGTATGGGGGTACCCACCTCCATACTGGGGGTACCGGGGCACCCACCTCTGTACGGGGGCACCAACCCCTGTACGGGGGCACCCACCTCTGTACGGGTGCACTCATCTCCACATGGGGGCACCCACATTTGTATGGGGGTACCCACCCCTGTACTGGGGCACCCACCTCTGTACGGGTGCACTCATCTCTACATGGGGGCACCCACATTTGTATGGGGGTACCCACCCCTGTACTGGGGCACCCACCCCTGTACGGGTGCACCCATCTCTACATGGGGGTACCCACCCCTGTACGGGGGCACCCACCCCTGTATGGGTGCACCCCTCTCTACATGGGGGCACCCACCCCTGTACGGGTGCACCCATCTCTACATGAGGGCACCCACATTTGTATGGGGGCACCCACCCCTGTACGGGTGCACCCATCTCTACATGGGGGCACCTACCCCTGTATGGGGGCACCCATCTCTACATGGGGGCACCCACATTTGTATGGGGGCACCCACCTCTGTACGGATGCACCCATCTCTACATGGGGGCACCCACCCCTGTACGGGGGCACCCACCCCTGTATGGGTGCACCCCTCTCTACATGGGGGCACCCACCCCTGTACGGGTGCACCCATCTCTACATGAGGGCACCCACATTTGTATGGGGGCACCCACCCCTGTACGGGTGCACCCATCTCTACATGGGGGCACCTACCCCTGTATGGGGGCACCCATCTCTACATGGGGGCACCCACATTTGTAAGGGGGCACCCACCCCTGTACGGGGGCACCCACCCCTGTACGGGGGCACCCATCTCTACATGGGGGCACCCACATTTGTATGGGGGCACCCACCTCTGTACGGATGCACCCATCTCTACATGGGGGCACCCACATTTGTACGGGGGCACCCACCTCTGTGCCGCGGCCAGCCCGGTGCCGCCGGTGCTGAGGAACTCCCGCATGGAGCGGGGCAGCGCCGGCTCCGCCGCGCTCAGATCCACCAGCGCCTCCCCGCCGGGCGCCACCTCCAGCCCCAGGCGGGGCTCGGCCCCCCCCGGTCCCCGGAACCGCACGAGGCGCATGGCCCCGGCCAGGCGCATCCCGGGATCCTGCCCGGAGAGGAGCGCGTCCCGCAGCGGCCGTGCCCCGAGGAACCCCCGGCCCCAGGGGATCCCCCCCTGCCCCAATCCCTGGGGATCCCCCCCCGATCCCGCCCTGCTCCGATCCCAGAGGGGATCCCCCCGCCCCGATCCCGCTCAGCGCAATGCCAGGGATGCCCCTGCCCCATCCTGCTCCCAGCGGATCCGATCCTGCTCCATGAGGATCCCCCCCGATCCCCCCCAGCCCCAATCCCTGGGGATCCCCCCCGATCCCCCCCCAGCCCCAATCCCTGGGGATCCCCCCCCGATCCCGCCCTGCTCCGATCCCAGAGGGGATCCCCCCGCCCCGATCCCGCTCAGCGCAATGCCAGGGATGCCCCTGCCCCATCCTGCTCCCAGCGGATCCGATCCTGCTCCATGAGGATCCCCCCCAGCCCCAATCCCATCCCTGGGGATCCCCCCCGATCCCCCCCAGCCCCAATCCCTGGGGATCCCCCCCTATCCCGCCCTGCCCCGATCCCAGAGGGGATCCCCCCGGCTCAGCGCAATGCCAGGGATGCCCCTGCCCCATCCTGCTCCCAGCGGATCCGACCCTGCTCCATGAGGATCCCCCCCAGCCCCAATCCCTGGGGATCTCCCCCCCGATGCCCCCCAGCCCTGACCCCACGGTGTCCCCGTCCCCGTCCCCGTCCCGTCCCCTCCCCCGCTCCCGGTGCGGGACCCCCCGACCCCGAGGGGTTCCCCGGAGCCACCTACGTCACGTCCCTCTCCGAGTCCCCGCCCCGCCCTGGGACCCACCAATGCGAAAGCCGGTAGCGTCCCGCCGTGCAGCCAATAGGAAAAGGGAGGCGTTAAGCCGTGCAGCCAATGAGAGCGGCCAGAGTTCCGCCTCTCAGCCAATGAGAGCCGGGGCGGGAGGGAGCAGCCGCGTTGCTAGGATACGCAGCGCGGCCGCCGTGTGGGCGCCGCCATGACAGCGGCGAGGCACCGCTGGCACCGAAATCGCGGGGTTTGACCCCAAACCGTGGCTGTGGCTTTAATCAGAAAACCCGGCGCGAAGCCCCGCTCTAGAGCACGTCCTCGAAGATGCGCATGGAGCTCATGATGTCCTCGTCCTGCGCAGACACCAGAGGCTGCCGCCATAGCCCCCCATGGCGGGGTGGGTGAGGAGCGGGGAGGAGGAGGAGGAGGGAGGGGGGTGATGATGAAGCCCATGGGAGCCCCCCACCTTCAGGCACGTGTCCAGGAACTCCTCGAAGGTCACGACGCCGTCGCCGTTCCTGTCCATCTTCTGCGGGGGAAGAGATGGGGCTCAGCGGGGATGGGCCCAGGGACAGCGCCAGGGGGTGACAGGGACAGCACCGGACCCATGGACAGCACCGGACCCATGGACAGCAACGGACCCACGGACAGCACCGGACCCACTGATAGCCCCACTGTGTGACAGTGACAGCACCGGATCCAGCGACAGCACCGGATCCAGGGACAGCACCGGACCCATGGACAGCACCAGACCCACGCACAGCACCGGACCCACTGGTAGCCCCACTGTGTGACAGTGACAGCACCGGATCCAGGGACAGCACCGGACCCATGGACAGCACCGGACCCACAGACAGCACCGGACCCACTGATAGCCCCACTGTGTGACAGTGACAGCACCGGATCCAGGGACAGCACCGGACCCACTGATAGCCCCATTGTGTGACAGTGACAGCACCAGATCCAGCGACAGCACCGGATCCAGGGACAGCACCGGACCCAGGGACAGCACGGGACCCACAGACAGCACCAGACCCATGGACAGCACCAGACCCATGGACAGCACCGGACCCACAGACAGCACCAGACCCATGGACAGCACCGGACCCAGGGACAGCACCAGACCCAGGGACAGCATCGGACCCAGGGACAGCCCCATTGTGTGACAGTGACAGCACCGGATCCAGGGACAGCACCGGACCCAACAGATAGCACCAGACCCATGGACAGCACCAGACCCATGGACAGCACCAGACCCAGGGACAGCATCGGACCCAGGGACAGCCCCATTGTGTGACAGTGACAGCGCCAGTCCCAGTGACAGCCCCTGACCCAGTGGCAGCCACGGACCCAGTGACAGCCCATTGTATCCCAGGGACAGCACCGGACCCAGTGGCAGCCACGGACCCAGTGACAGCCCATTGTATCCCAGTGACAGCACTGGACCCAGTGACAGCCCCACTGTGTGCCAGTGACAGCACCCGTCCCACTAACAGCCCCACTGTGTGACAGTGATAGCACCCATCCCAGTGACAGCCCCACTGTGTGCCAGTGACAGCACCAGTCCCAGTAACAGCCCCATTGTGTGCCAGTGACAGCACCCATCCCAGTGACAGCCCCACTGTGTGCCAGTGACAGCACCCATCCCAGTGACAGCCCCACTGTGTGCCAGTGACAGCACCAGTCCCAGTGACAGCCCCATTGTGTGCCAGTGACAGCACCCATCCCAGTGACAGCACTGGTTCCAGTGACAGCCGCGGACCCAGTGGCAGCCCCGGTGCCGGCCCCATTGTGTTTGCTGGGCCGAGGGGGATGCTCTCACCTGGAAGAAGAGCTCCACGTGCTCTGCGGGAGCGCAGTCCCGGAGCGCGGGCTGGGTGCAGCGCCCCATCATGTCATAGATGGACGTCATGATCTCCAGCATCTCCTAAGGGGGACGGAGCGGTGACAAGGACCCTTCTGCTGAGGGCACCTCTGTCGCCAGCGCCCATCCCCTGGGATGCTCCCAGCCCCGTGTCACCTCCTTGGTGATGCAGCCGTCCTTATTGATGTCGTAGAGGTTAAAAGCCCATTGCAGCTTCTGCTGCACCGTCCCCCGGAGCAGGACCGAGAGCCCCAAGACAAAATCCTGCCGGAGGAACTGGGGTTGAGTGGGAACATCCCTGTGGGACCCGAGGGATGGGACCCTCATCTCACACCCCTGCACCGGCGCTGGCGGACGCCCCGGTGGGAATTGTGTTTTATCCCTATTGATCCCGTTTCCATTCTCGCTCGCAGCTATTTTTAATCCCCGCGGTGAAGCCGGTGCCGCAGTTCCGGCATCAACCCTGGCACCGGCTCCAGCCAGAGCAGGGCAGTGATCCCGAAGGAAGAGCTCATGGATCACCTGGAAGCAGAGGGCCCCGTTGCGGTCGGCGTCGAAGGCGTCGAACAAGAAGTGCGCGTAGGTACTGGCGTCTGCGGGGGAGCGGGAGCCGGTGAAGCCACCGCATCCCGGCCCCTGTCCCCATGGGGATCACCCCCGGCACTCACCGCCTTGCGGGAAGAACCGGGAGTAGATGAGCGTGAAGGTTTCCTCATCCACGAGGCCGCTGGGACACTCCTGGCAGGGAAGCGGGCGCCGGTGAGGCCGCGGCTCCGGTGCAGCCGCGCTGGGGGTGAGGGTCCCCCCCGACTCACGCTCTTGAAGCCGCGGTACAGGGCTCGCAGCTCCCGCCTGGAGAACTTGGTCCGTGCCAGCAGCTCCTCCAGCTCCTCCGGTTGGTGCCGCGCGGCCGCCAGCTCCACCTCGACATCGCCGCCGTCTGCCCCCAGCAAGGCGGCTCCTCCGCATCATTCCCGGCTCATCCCACTCAATCCCAATCCCCCCCAAGGACCTGCTGCTGGACCCCACGCTCCCCTTGTGCTGGGGGGGAAAAGGGCACCCCCGGGTTGAAGAACCCAAGGGGTCGCCACCCGATCGCAGGGTTTCCCCAGGAGCCTCCAGCAGCGCGTTGCCGGGGTGCGGAACCTCCCGCCCCGGCGGAAGGTAATTAATAAATGATGCCTCATTAATAATTGGTGCTTGGGAGGCCCCCGCGGAGCCGCTCAGCGCCGGCATCGGGGTGGGAAAACTGGCCCAGGGACAGGCTCTGCAGTGCCGGGGCAGCCGGAGAGCCCCACACCCCTTGGGTGCTGCCGAGGGGGGGGGTTAAGCCCCCATCTCCTCCCGATGGGTGTTCCAGGGTGCAAAGGAGAAGCCCTGAGCCCCTTCCTCCACATGGGAATTGGGGGTCCCCATGTCTCGTCTCTGGGGGGATTGAGGTCGATGGGAGATTGGGGACCCCCCCTTGTGAGGGTTTGGGGGTCACTGTGGGCTGGGGTCCCCCCATCACTCTGCCTGGGGGGTCTCAAGGGGCACAAAGGTCCCAGCTCCCCCAAGAGGGTCTCTGGGGGGGGGGGAGGTGGGGAGTGTCCCTGCACCCCCTCAATGCGGTGTTTATGTGGGGCTGGACCCAGCCCAGCCCCATAGGCAAGGCTGGGCCATGACGAGGCAGGGCGGGGGCGGGGGGGGGGGAGGCTGCGGCTTCCTCCCCCCCCGCACCCACAAACCCTCAGGATCACCCCCAACCACCCCCCCCCTAAGAGGGGGGAACCCCCAAACCCTGCAGGTTTGACCCTAAGGGACCTATTGATGGGCCCAACAGGTCCTTTAAGGGGAGAAACACCCCCAGAGGCGTGGGGAGGGCTGAAAATAGGTTAATTAATGAGGATTAATTAGGGTTAATTAAAGGGGGGGGGGCGGTACCTTCCACAGAGATGGGCTCCAGGATCCCGAACTGTTTGAGGACGGCGATGAAGAGGAGGATGACCACGGCCACGGCGCAGAGCTCCATGCCCTGGATGCCCATGGCCGGTGGCGGGGAGAGGGGGGGGACCACGGGGATCGGGGTGTCCTCTGTGTGTCCCCCCCCTCCGGCACCCCGGGCTGGGGCGAGGTGGCTGCGAGCGGGCGCGTCCGGGCGGCGCTGCGGCGGGGCCGGCCCTCCTGCCCTCCTCCCTTGGCACCGGCCCATGGCTCCCCCCCCGCCACGGTGCAGCCCTCTCCGGCCACAGGGGTGCAAAGGGGAGCCTGATACCACCACCCCCCCCCCCCCCCAGCACCCATGGGTGCCAAGCACACCACAAGGCCTTGGAATTGGGTTGGAAAAGGGCTGGTTTGGGGGTGCCACAAGCACACCCCATGGGGAGGGGGTGGTTATGGGTTTCACCCCCCCCCGACCTTCCAATGCTCAGAACACAAGGGGTGGTTTGGGGGGGGGGGGGATATAAAGGGGTGGATGAGGTGTGGTGTCCCCACGGCCCTGGGACATCATCTCCATCCCCTCAGGGCTGTCCCTGTGCCTCGGGGGGGGTCCCTGTCCCCACAGCCGCACAGACGCTGTCCCCATCACCCCATGGCTGTCCCCACTGCCTGAGCTCCTCCTGTTCCCAAGGCTCTGGGGCATCCCGGGGGGGTGTCCCTGTCCCCAGGGGCCTCATGATCCTGCCTCCATCCTCGGGGGGGCTCCTGCCCCCCAACCCCCATGGACGTCATCCCTGAGCCCCCCAACCCCCCGTGTCCCTGTCCCTTGGGGGTGACCCCATCCCTTGGGGTCCTCCCGTCCCCGAGCCCCACGGTGACCCCTGGGGCAGCACCGAGGGGCGTGGCTTTAATGGCCGGGGGCGGAGCCAACCGCATGGAGGGAGGGAGAGGGGCGTGGCCAATCGCAGTGGGCGTGGCTTCACTCCCGGTGGGGGCGTGTCCGAGCTCTCTCCTCAAGCCCCGGCCCGCCGCCATTTCCACTTCCGCCGCCGCCGCCGCCATGGCCTCAAGGTTACTGCGGGTGAGCGCGGCCCTGCGGCTGCTGCCCGCGGCCTCTGCCCGCACCGCGCCCGCCCGCGGCCTCGCCGCGCCCGGTGAGCTCGGGGCGGGGAGCGGGACCGGGACCGGAGAGGGGGGAGCCGGGAGGGGCGGAACCGGGGAGGAGGCCGCGGGAGCCGCGGGCTCCGGTGTGAGCGCTCTGCCCCGCAGGCCGCCTGGCCACGGATGAGGAGCAGGCGACGGGCTTGGAGCGGAAAGTGATGGAGGCCATGAACAAGGGCCTGGTGAGTGCGGGACGGGACCGGGATCTCGGGGGGGGGGTGGGGGGGTGCAGGTCCCGGTGCCCCCCCCGTGTTAACGGTGACACCCCCCCCCCGCAGGACCCCTATAGCATGTTCCCTCCGAAGCGCTACGCGGGGACCAAGGAGGACCCGAACCTCGTCCCGTCCATCACCAACAAGCGCATCGTGGGCTGCGTCTGTAAGTGCAGCCCCCGTCCCGCCCGGCTCCCGTCCCGCGGCCCCCTGGCCGGGCTTGTGTCCGTCCCTCCTCCTCCTGTCCCTCCATAGGCGAAGAGGACAACAGCTACGTGGTCTGGTTCTGGCTGCACAAGGGCGAGGCTCAGCGC